TGAATGGGTGCTGACTGTTGCTAGCCTGTTTGTGGTGCGGAAAACGCGTTCCACGTCGCGTGGTAAATGTAGTGTAAGTTCAATTTTAAACATTGTAGAACGTTAGTTATAGCCTCCCCCCTCCCCCACCCTTGTCAGGGAATGATGGCTGGACAGGAGCCCGTGCCATGGGTTCCTGTACACTACGAGTAGTCCATCTTTCGCTTAGTCCGTCGAGCGAGACCGTTAATGGGCGCGTGAAATCCTGGAGGCGAGATGTACTTCTCTCCTCCAGGAGTTTGGGCGGCTATTTTTTTCTCGCGGTTTACTTTCGCGTCACGCGCGACGGACTAAGCGAAAGAGGGGCTACTCGTAGTCCAGCGCCCCGGTGACGGGATTTTCTCTTTCGGGGGATTTTCTCTTTCGGGGGATGTGGGGAGAGGGTACACGTGGGTCCTGATTTCGCTACCGTGAGGAGGGATAAGAAATTTTCGGACCTTCAAGTGTTAAAGGTTTGAGCAAAAACTGATCTACCCGCCAAAAGTCATCTATTTAGGGATACTCAAAGCCTTTATGGAACACTCTAAATTGAATCAATGTTAACGAAAAGGAAAGGCTTGGCTATATTTGAACAATCCTCTATATGCAAACTGATCTTCAACTCCAAATAAATAGTGGACTGAAATCATGGAACAGCAAAACGGATATTTCTTTAAGCCGATCGAGATCAAAACTGAGCTTAAGATATATGGTTGTTACAACTTTTATTCTACCAAACCAACAGTGACAAATTTAGCAAAATTTTAACAAAATCGCGCGTGGTCAATCTTCTGCAATTATTTTTGTTTCCTATGCAACTGTGATTTCATTTTCAATTGATCGCTAATTTTCATTTTCTTTTTAAGTTTGCAGTTTATAATTTAAGCAACACGCCAGAATCATTAATAAAAGCTATTGTGACTAAGACCCTCGTCTGTAATAAAAGAAACAAAAATGGACTGATTGGAAAGAAAAACCGGGTAAATTGCTTACCTCAAGAGCACTCCGTAGAGATCAATACCAGACAAAGATACTGAATCGCCCAGAAGAATTCTTGCCCGTCTGAAAAATCCTAAAATACCGGTACCGAAACGCTCCCAGGTCCCCATCGTCTGACGAGGTCGCGGTGTAATATGAACTCTATGTCCAGGTTTTTTTTAAACTTTGCCAAAAGTTGCGTCTTATCATGCTTAGTAAAATTTGATAATATAAATAAATTTAACCTAACCGTTTTTGAATTATAAGACCCTGAAGCTTCATTTAAGGATGTTTTTAGCGAGTCATACTGTTGCTATGGTAACCTATTGTGTCACGAAAATGATAACAACGTGTTCACCAACGATTGGGCAGTTTTTTGAAATCATGATTGTAGCATCAAGTGATAAAGAGTGGTTATAACGACCCATCAAAATCTGGGCAAGATAGGTGAAAACTTTTATTCTATCAGTCCAACGGTAAAAAAAAATAGCAAAATGTCAACAAAATCATGCTTGTTGGCTATGTAGCTGTGATTTAACCTACAATTGATTACTATTTTGGCCTTTTTTAAGTTTGCAGTTAATAATTTAAGCTAACACTTAAGAATCACTAAAGTTATTGTGACTGAGCACCTCGTTCATTATGAGAGAAACAGAGAATGGAGTAAAGGGAAGCTAACACAGGTCAACTGCTTAGTTCAATGAGCACTCCGTAAAGTTCAATACCAGAGAGAAAGATACTGAATCGTCCAGATGAATTCTTTCCCGTCTGAAAAATCCTAAAATACCGAAACGCTCCCAGGTCCCCATCGACTGACCAGGTCGCGGTGTAATATGGGAAAGGTTCTTTAAGCCCGCGATCATTCTCGTGCTTTTTCAGAAGTTTCCAACTGCGGCCATCAAGCGACCCTTCGAGGCGCCAGTTACGAATAATTGACATGCCGTTGTCCCGTCCATGTCGTAAAGTGTAATGGGTTAAAAACAAGGCGTACTTTTCGCTCAAATCTACACACCACCACGATCTATCTTCGTCCTTTGTGCCACTTAAAGTACCGCCTCTGCGATTGTCAAGCAGGTCATTGGCCACGCCTTGCTCGTCAGAGGATCGCGTGGCAATTATCCTTGTCGGGGAGGCACTGTTGCTACCGGGATTTACCCAGAGGGTGGTACCGAAATTTGTTCCCAGGGCATAGATGACACCGTGTCTGTCGAAGTCCTTTCTGTAGTTTAAAACACCTGTGTCAATTGAAGAAATAAATCATGTCAATTCAATGGTTTGAATTTTACCCCGCAAACGGAATAACCCTAGGGCATATTTTGTCAAAATCCCTTGCTTTTCCTTTCCTGAACTTATTTTCAGTAGGCCATTTCCGAATTGCCTTTTGCCTCTGCGTCAAAACTAGTCTTCGCGCGAGCCATTCACATGGAGATGTACTCCGCCCACAGATTCATTTTCATGCAAATCAAACTGGTTTTCTTATGAAAAGTTTTGCACGAAGACTCGTTCTGGAAAAGAGGCGCAAGGTAACTCAGGAAAGGCCTATCAGGGAGGTTAAATATCGCAGGAATCTCTAAGGACTGTCAACTCTCAAATCATTTAAAAACGCAAGCGGTGATACCTTCTACTGAATCGCCTAATAAAAAGCGTTTTTCCACGCGTGTGATTCCTGATCTTTTCGAGTCCACGCGCGTGACCCGTGTGCTCTCCGTCTCCTTGTGCATTATTTACAATTTCTTGTTCGTTCTTTGCGTGATTAGAACTCAGCGAGCGGGATGAACTAAATCCTGCGGTGTGATTGGCTACTCGAGAGATATTTTACGGCATTGTTGCCCGCTCGGGATTAGCTGATCTATCCTTCAAGAAAATGGTGTTCTGTATGTGTACCAAATAGTACAGCGTTATTGACAAGGCTTGTTCGGTCAAGATGGCTGTATATTGGCCTCGTTCTTTCATTGTGTTTAAGGATATCGACTGTGTCTCGATCCATAAATGCGCGATTTGCATGATGGCGACATTTGACTACAACTACCACAATCCTTCACTTTTTCTGTTTCCTATACTAATCAAGGCAATTGCTATTTGAATCCTACTGGGAATTCAAAATTCAAATAATAAAGAAAAAAACGAAAGGAATTCTGCTAGTTGTAGTCAAAGGACGACAACGTGCAACTCTGCTATTGGAAGAAGGGGGTCGAGACCAATGTCAAGGATGTAGGTGTGGTCTAAATGACAACTGACAATTTTGTCAAGATTTTAACCGTCAGCTGAGAAACGACGCGCTTTGTACATATCTGAGACTAAAAATTGACTGAAATATCATCTTGTAACTGAGATTCTATCAACCCCATCCAGTCCCTAAATTTCCAGCCATGTTGTTAACCTCTTGCTCAGTCAATAATAACTCATATACAGTATGAAACTTACGTCCTGTCATGCTCCTCAGTCGTTGGATTTCTTCTCTCAACAAGTCGCACTTGCAACGTTCCGCGAAGTCCTTGCGAAGTCTCTCCATGTCTTCGCATTTTTTGTGCTCTTGGCTACAAAGTTCATTCTTTAGCTTATCCAGTTCTTTCAAAGCGTCTGTCTTAGCTTTAACCTCAGTCTCTAGTTCCTCCTTCGTCTCCTTCAATTTCTTCTTTTCCCGTGCTAAATTTTTTTTCACCTTAGCAAAATCTTCTTGAATTTTCTCCTGTTGTGATTTTTCTTTCTTTAATTGCGCCATTATCTTTTGGATTTCCGACTTCAGTTTATTAATCTGATCGTTCAATTCGTCGTTTTGCCCGTGTAACGTTTTCATTTCCGACTCTCGTTGTCCATTCACGTCACGCAACATCTTTTGCAACTCCTTTTCAAAATCTCGTGACAAGTTTTCGTGTTCTTCTCGCATACTTTGTATTTCCTTTTGAAGGTTTTTTTCCTCTCTTAATTGGTCCGATCTGAGCTCTTTTATTTCTTTGTTTAACTTGGAAACTTCGTCCTCGAATTTCTCTTTCTCTCCTTTGTAGAAATCTTTCTCCGTTGTTAACAAGTTATTCTCTTCTTCCAGTGCTTCACATCGCGGACACCCTTGATTTTCTAAAAAAAACAAAAAGCAAATCATTAGGTAAAATCCAGAAAACTTGAATTTCTCATGGACTCTCAGGGCATCTGCGCCAGCATATGCCAGAGGTTGATCGATTTAGAGGTACTCGGTCAAAAGGGAACGAGGAAGCTATAATTTTCTTGCTCCCGACCAAAAAGTACAAAGGCCTGAAACAATTTTGGGGCTATCACGTCCTTTTCCTTGTCATCAAAACAGGGGCGCTCTGACTGAACCGGAGATCCCATGAGATGATAGAGTATGAGGAAGAGTGGTCCTGGCCGTCCAAAAAAAACAGCTAAAAGTTTTAGAAGCGAGGTAACTTCGAGCGCTGCAAAGTGGAGCCTCACATTTCCCGTTAAAATGCATGTAAATTTGTTGTTTTTCACTGTTCTATGCCCCCAAACATGGGGCGCTCTCTTTTAGGACTTGACTTTCGAGTCGTTAATCTCCTTCCCTAACTCCCACTTTCCAACAACACCCTTAAACACACATGTTCGTTTGTCGCTTACCTTCAAACTCCAAGTGTATTGGTTCTCCTGGTGATGTCGCTCTATCATGCAAACTGGCGCTTCGTTGTCTTTCCAAACTCGCCAGAGTGTCCTCGAGCTGTCTCTCTAAGTGCTCGTACTTTTCTTTCAATTCCTCGTGTTCTTTCGTTACTCTCGCCAAATCTTTCCTAGTTTCATCCAACAGTTCAGCTGAAAAGGAGTCACTGCTCTTTTGTATCCGAGGTTTTATCTCCAAATCCTCATCCTTGATAAAAGGAATATCAGTAGACAGTACATTCGGGATTTTTTCAACCATTTCGTGTTCCCCATGTCGTGAAATGAAGCCCACCGCATCACGGTTAACTCTTTCGTTCAAAACATTGTTTCTGTAGTTTGACAACTTTGTCACGAGTTCTTTGTTCTCTTGAGAGACCTTTTCGTAACTTTCCTTAAAGCTACGTAACTTCTCGTCCATTTGATCGCACATTTTTCTCAACCGTGCTGTTTCCTCTGTGAAGACAAGTTTGTCGCTTCGTTCGGTTGACAGTTCCTCCTCCAGTCGGTTGATCATGGTTTCTAGCTCTTCAACCCTCAGCTGCATATTTTGCTTGTCTTCCTCGCCCTTTGCCATTAGAGTTTCATGGAGGCTTTTTAGTTCTTCAAGTTCTTTACGCGTCTTTTTGTGTTTCTGTTGCTCTTTTTCTAAACTTGTTCTCATAAGATCAACTTCCTCTCCAAGCCTTGCACTGTGTGTTCGAGCACGATTTAGTTCCGTCTTAATCTCTTCCATTTCTTAAAGAGAAGTAATCAAAAAAGTTTCACCGCTTATCCACTATAGATTTACAAAGAGGATGATTATTTTTTCTAATATCTACCTGTCAATTTTACATCGCTTTTATTTTCATTCTGGCTGAGACACATCAAGCTACAAGCTTGTTAGTGAGTAACAGCTTGGGTCACGTGATTGGTCAAGACCATTCACGTGCATAGCCATCTAATTTATACTGGATGATTTCATCAAGTGATTTTTAAATGGACAACAGCAATGCTAGAGAAACTCGTTCGTTGTATTATCTGTTCACGTGCAAAAGACCAATAGAAATCAGTGAATTTTTCCCTGACCAATCACCTGCACGTGCGAACGTTGTTTGAAATCTATGCAAATTTAGTAACTCTCGGCTGACATTGAAAGGGATGCAATTTTGGGTTAACCTTGATTTTGACGCCCCTCAAAATATTTGATCGCACTTCACAGGGAAAAGGTAGCACTGCATCAAAATTCGGCCTCACTCTGTACTTGACAGGCATTAGCAGCGAGATCGTGTAGCATACGTTAAAAGTATACAACGCTCTCGATAGAAGATCAATTCAAACAATCGTTTGTGACGTGTCCATGTTGATCTCAGGTTGAATGACGTTAACGAGAAGATAGCTGAAAAAAACTATAGAGCTCTACAAATCGATTTACTGGAAAAACGGATTTTACTATCCCAAGACTATTGTACCATTGTATACCTGATTCTTGAACCAATGGAGCAGCCAAAAATGGCTGAACTTCCTGCAATGCCTTCACGAAGTCATCAAAGGCTGTAGGCCCTCTCCTCGGTAGGATGTCTAACAGTTTGTCAATCCTGTCCTCTCTCGTAGCTTTCACCTTTACTTCCTGTTCATCCGTGACGTCCAACACGTTGACCAAATTAGGTAGAAGCTTCATCGGTTCCAGGTCCCTCCTAAGCGTCGACCAATGGCGGCGAAGGATATCCCTGTGCCTGTCATTCATCTTGTTTCAATTCAGTACCAGTCTATTTANGCAGTCATGGCGGCCAAGAAACATGAATAAAATTCATTTCAGGTTTGCTTCGGTAACTCAAAGACTTCATATAAATTTTCAGTAGGGGCTTTCCCTTGATTATCATAACAAGTAATATTGACCTATAAAAAACCAGTTTATTTCGATCATTTCACTTAGACAAAGTTCTCGTACAGTCGGTGAAGAGAGCAAAGACATATTAAAAACAGGACAATAAAATTTGCACAAGAATGGTTTTCTTTCACCGCTCGGCTGAAAGTCTGTTCAATGGCCTTTTTTTATTCTCAGTCTTTAGAAAAAGATTGCAAACCTCAGCGAAATGAACACTTTTTTCAAATCTTTAATGCCCGCCTTTGATTATTTGAAGACTCAGCAACTTTTGATGAATTTAACTTCATCTGTAAGTCGATCAAGCCAAACTATGAAATCGCTTAAAGTTCTGTTAACTTAATCTTGTTATAAATAACTTGATTTTACACAGAGTTATGCTCTCTCATCGCCCTGACTGATAAATAGTATTTATTATTCGATAGAGGCACCAATCAAATGGTCAGAAACTGCAAATTTAGTCGTTTCTAAAGTGTTGTTTACTAGCAATAACGTTTACTGCTTGCCTAGTGCGTTACCACTGTGAAATGAAGCGTGCTGCTCATAAAAATGCAATGTTTACTATTACGAATATTGGTCAAATATTTCCCGCTGACAAGAGTAATTGCATATTGTATAACTTTGTTAGGTGCAAACAAGGTTGTCAAAACTCGCCGTGATGTGATTAAATATTTGAGTGGCGTGAATTGGCCCGGTCCGAATAAAAAAAAGCGCAGTTGTTGAGTAGCCGTAAAAAGTGCTTGTTGCTAAACGGATGATCACGCAAGACTGACTCCCAGACGCAAAGGATCAAGCTAGTCAACTTCGACAACAGATTTTAAAGAAACCTCAAACAATCTATACAAAAGATGAGACAATTTTCAACTTACTTTAAGGCTCCAACAAAGAATCGAAGAGTGGATTCCTCATCTGGTGAAAATGATTCGTGATAATATCCACGGCTTGACCTCAAGTGGACAGTCGGTTCTAAACGAGGACGAAGATGGGCCTTGGAGCCAGCTTTGTTTCCCAACAGACGTCTGCAAATGAATTTATATCTTGGATGGTAAACTATTTGTAAAGAAACTGCCCTGAGATGATGTAATAATAGCGCTAAAACACATCAGAGCAATGTAGTTTTGGAAGACAATTCACCATTCTTTGAAAAGTGTTTTCAAGACATTATAACCTTACCTATAGCGTATAATTACCAGGTGACGTAATGCGGTCTATTTACAAGCCAATCAAATGCTTTTCGTGTGTAATTAAGCTGTTGTCATGGTAATGGTTCCTGAGCAAATTGTCGAATAATATACGTCGATCGAGTGGGCGCTTGAGTGAAAAAAACGGGGGAAAAAAAAAACAAAAAAAAAAACACCCTAAGCGTTTTGAAGAAAACAGGAATAAAGTGATATCAGCCTTTGTTCCTTGAAAGAGATAGAAGTCAAATATGAATTATTTAAAAGTGAATTATGTATGTGAGATTGGAACAGTCAGACTACCTCTTTACGTATGCGCAAAGCCAAACACCTCTGAGAATTTGCCCCCTCGACAAAGATTCGTTGTGGAAAGTGATACCACTAACACATCAAGTGCACTTGAAATCTGAAATATATATTTCTCTTTTTGTTCAATACTGAACACGATACTGTTCCTCATCACCAGATCTCCTTCAAGTTCTTAGTCATTCCTAACATTTTTTCCTACCTCGCTAACCACAGAGCGAGCACCTATTAGACCCGAACAAAAGCTTATGAGCTCTTATGCAAGATCACTGCAAGACCCTAAAAAGTTAGCTAGACAAGGTAAGCAAATCTTAGCAGCTAGAAGAGCTATCTTAATACCTTACCACTTCATCTAAACGAACTTCAGACTCCCGAAATCTGAGCAATTCGCTCTTCTCCTAAACTGCTTTCTCGAATCCTGACGAGGGGTTGTCATGCATGTCTTACTAGAGGTGCCTCGCGCGGGTCATTTTTATTTTCTCGAGTATGAACGTTTCCAAGACAAAATCGAAGTAGGGAAAAAATGTTCGTGGAAGGACAGTCTTAGTCACCGCTTCTATCAAGGTACATGGCGGGTACCACTTAACGATAAAGTTAACGGTATCAGTAGCGTAGAATCTTGATCGTGATGTAGAAAGAGGAAATTTAAGTCTTAGACACTTGATTACACTCAAAGATGTCGGGATAAACCCCTAGTTCGACAGGGCACGGACAAAAACATCAAGAACGGATGTTTGGTTTCCAAGCTTACAAATAAAGAGACGTTGAATAGTCAGCTATAGCAAAAAGAACGAATAACGAATTAAATAACTTCAAAGCGACTGTTCTTCATGAAGTGCATATTCCTACGCTTTACTGTCTGACCCCCGTTCAAAATTTAACAAGGTATTTCTCGATTACTAATCATATTAATTGTCATTCCCAATAAAACATCAGAATGGCTATAAAATAGTGTAAAACATACAGCAGCAGGCAAATCTGCCTGTATCGACCTCTTTTTAACCACAAATTGTTTAGTGGAAACAGAAAATGCTGACTCGATCCAATGCGCTTTTGCCTTGTGATGAATTTCACTGGTGTCATATGATCATCAATTGATACTATCTTTACTGTTTTGACGTTACTGCTATGGTTACTGTGTCAAATCGTTTGACACTAGGTAAACGGTCGTCTAAATTATAACATCGGTTGCAGTTGACGGCTTGGCTGAACTCACGCGAATATGACAGGACAAACTACCGACTCATAGCTAAGTATGGCACTCAATAGATCTACAGATACACCGATGCAGGGCTCATAATAGCCTGCGAGCAGGTTCACCTTTGAGTCGCGCGCGAGCGGCGAAGAGCAAAGCGATCTGGCGGGAAGGAGTCTGGTGAATAGGCGCCAAGAAAGTGACTTTCTCGTCTCCCGGCTTGCCGCTCGATTTCGCGTTCGCGGCTAAGTTGCATGCCCTTGTGCTCCGACGTGAGCCTGCTCGCAGGCTAGGCTCATAATTTCACTGAGGGGAGAATTCGTAAAAGTAATTTTATGAAGGAATTGTGTCCTATTGAAACTGGTGCAGCGAGCATGCAGGACTTAATTGCCAAAGTAGAGTGTAGTAAATGGCCTAGTAGTTTGTCACTTGTCTACCAGCTGTAGAACACTGGTTAGCTAGAGGTGGATCGTGCAAGTTCGTCTCTCTTTAGGGATTCATGTATAAATTTATTTTTCATTGTGTTCCGTTGCAGCGGGGACACACTTTATAGAAGGCCTAGATAGAGATATTAGAGGATCTCAGCTATCAGCGCTAATTTCCCACCTACCAATTAAAATTTCAGCGTAATTTTCAGCTATCGTTCAATGTTTTAGAAATCCCGAAGTTATAATTTGGACCAATTCTCAGGCGTTAGTAAAATCCCATTTATGCCACGGTACTGATACATAGTTTCTTTAACAACAAAATGTTTGTAGAGAAAAGCTGTGACGCTGTTGTTTGGCCAGAAAAAAAAGACTGGTACAAATTTAGGCGAGATGGATGACAAACACCGGGAAATCTTACGTCGCCAGCGTCCCAATTTACGCCGTGACCTGGAAGTAATGAAGCTGTTACCTAAATTGTTCTCAGTGTTAGACTCAGATGATGAAGAGGAAGTAAAGGCAGAGGCTACACGTCGAAAAATGGTCGACAAACTTTTGAGCATTCTACCCAAGAAAGGACCGAAGGCGTTTGACGTCTTTGTGAAAGGACTACAGGAGAACCAGCCTTGCTTAGCTGCTCCTTTGCTTCGGTATTCAGGTATTAAAAAAGCATGTTGTTTTGGACTGCGAAAACATTTCAAGGCTGTGTTGGCCAAAATTTACTGGATTGAGAAATAAAAGGACGTAACATTAGAATTGGTGTTCCTTTACAGTTCATCAAATGTGACGCAAATAAAATGAATAATTCAAATGTAAAGTCAGGGCGGGGTTCAACGGTACTACACAAGTACTCGGTCCTAAGAATTCCTTCTGCAGTTATTTTCTTACTGAACATATTTTGTTTGTAAAATTCGACCGCGAGGTAGTATAAAATCTTGACTTTGACCTGGCAAAATTCGTGATTGATTACGGTTCAGCGTTCATTACACTTGAACAACAAATGTAGCAAGTACCAACGAGTTGATCTACCATAAATTCTTATTACTATGGCGTTATAATTTTCTTACCACCACGCTCTTCTTGGGTTCTTAGGTATATATAACTCTTTTCTAGAGATGACGGTGCAGGCCAATCGTTTTGCGTGAGATAAATCGGTGTAATTGGCAGACTCAAACATACAGTAATAGGCGATTGTATCACATGATCTGTAGCAGTAAGATGAGTGTAAAAAAATAACTAACTAAGTAAATAAACAATCTCATTTGTTTTTCTTCCTCTAGAAAAGGAGGAAATGAAGACCGAATTCCACTGCTGCAGAAAGCACAGTTCCAGGTTAAAAGAGAGAGCTCATGCCGTTACGAAAGACCAGCAAGAAAAGGAAATCACGGAGTCGAGGTTTCAGATGTTGGAGACCACAATTAAACGGCTGGAAGAGGAACTGTCAATTGAAAAAAGTCACAAAAAAGAACTGGTAGAGAACACAGCACGCTTGAACAAAATGTGCGACGAAATGAAGGAAGACATACGTATCGTTAAGAAAATATTAGAAGAGCGCAAAGNATTGAAAAAAGTCACAAAAAAGAACTGGTAGAGAACACAGCACGCTTGAACAAAATGTGCGACGAAATGAAGGAAGACATACGTATCGTTAAGAAAATATTAGAAGAGCGCAAAGAACCCGTCGAAATTCTGTCAGATAGCAGTGACTATTCACTACAGGAAGAATTCACTGTGGTTGATAGAATCCCGAATGCCCTCGAGCGCGAGAAAAGTTTGGAAAGACCAGAGAACTTCAGTTTTCCCGACACAGCGACATCACCTGAAGGACTAAACGAGTTTAAGCTTGAAGGTAAGTTTGCAGTTGATGTATATCTTGGAGCTTTATTTGCGATCACCAAACCAACAGAAGTGTCCCGATAGGCTCTAACGAAATCTCAGGGGGTTGCTCTGGGAAGATGGGAAGATGGGAAGATGGGAAGATGGGAAGATGTAAAAACTGTGTACCTGATCAGAACTGGTTTCAAAGGCAATAAAACTTTTCAAGTTAAGTTGGTTTAGGATGCCGGTATTTACATCTTGTCGGTCCGTCTGTCGGTCTGTCGGTCTGTCATCAGTCAGTCAGTCAGACAGTCAATCAGTTTGTCAGTCTGTCCGTCTCTCAGTCTGTCAGTCAGTTTGTCAGTCAGTCCGTCTGTCGGTCTGTCGGTCTGTCATCAGTCAGTCAGTCAGTCGGTCGGCCAGTCGAAATTGACATTGGCCATTGCCCATTCATCGCTGGATATTTTTTTTTAACTCTTGTATGACGATGTACGAGTATTCGTTTTGTTCAGTTTGAACCTTTGCCTCTGTAATAGCTAAACAGTTTTGGCAGTTGCTTGACGATCAGGCGGGTAGGGTTATTAAACTCACAGTACCTACACAGTTTCTTCGTGGNACCAGCAACAAAAGGAGATCACGGAGTCGAGGTTTCAGATGTTGGAGACCACAATTAAACGGCTGGAAGAGGAACTGTCAATTGAAAAAAGTCAGAAAAAAGAACTAGTAGAGAACACGGCACGTTTGAACAAAATGTGCGACGAAATGAAGGAAGACATACGTATCGTTAAGAAAATATTAGAAGAGCGCAAAGAACCTATCAAAACTCTGTCAGAAAGCAGTGACAATGTATTGAACGAAAGCGCTTGTGAAGAGAGGACGCGTTGTTATTCACTACAGGAAGAATTCATTGTGCTTGATAGAATCCCGAATGCCCTCGAACGCGAGAAAAGTTTGGAAAGACCAGAGAACTTTAGATTTCCCGACACAGCGACATCACCTGAAGGACTAAACGAGTTTAAGCTTGAAGGTAAGTTTGCAGTTGACTGGTGTATTTCTTGGAGATTCATTTGCGATCACCAAACCAACAGAAGTGTCCCGATAGGGCTTAACGAAATCTCAGGGGTTTCTCTTATGGGAAGATGTGAAACCTGTGTACCTGATCAGAACGGATTTCAAAGGCAATATAACTTATCAAGTTAAGTTGGTTTAGGATGCGGCATTTACATCTTGAATTAATTATTTCACTTAAATGGTAAGAACAAAGGAGTGTCGGTCGTTCGCAGGGTGTAAATAGGTCGCTTAGTCAGCCAGTCATGATCACCATCAATCATTCAGTCATTCAGTTAGTCAGTTACTCAGTTACTCAGTCAATCAGTCAGTCAGTCAGTTACTCAGTCAATCGGTCTGTTTGTCTGTCAGTCTGGCAGTCAATCAGTCCGTCCGTCCGTCAGCGAGTCAGTCAGTCAGCCAGTCTGTCAGTCAGTCTGTTTGTCTGTCAATCAGTCTGTCTGTCAGTCAGTCAGTCAGTCAGTCTGTCAGTCAGTCAGTCAGTCAGTCAGTCTGTCAGTTAGTCAGTCAGTCAGTCTGTCAGTGTCAGTCTGTCAGTCTGTCAGACTGTCAGTCAGTCTGTCAGTTAGTCAGTCAGTCAGTCAGTGAGTCAGTCTGTCAGTCTGTCAGTCTGTCGGTCTGTCAGTCTGTCAGTATGTCAGTCTGTCAGTCTTTCAGTCAGTCAGTCAGCCAGTCAGTTGGTCAGTCGAAATTGACAGTGGCCATTGCCCATTCTTCGCTGGATTTTTTTTTTAACCCTTGTATGACGATGTACGAGTATTCGTTTTGTTCAGTTTAAACCTTTGCCTCTGCAATAGCTAAACAGTTTTTACAGTTGCTTGACGATCAGGCGGGTAGGGTTATTAAACTCACGGTACCCAAACGGTTTCTTCGTTGAGAAGCTAAAAAAGTTTTTTTTTTTTTTTTTATAGGAATCACGGGAATTCAATCGTTACAAAATCTCTCCTCCCCATTCCTGTTTATAGTGACCTAAGATGTTTATAGCTAGCTCGTGTTGTATAGATGACATTCCGAATAAGAACTCTTATAGCGGCTCTTGGAGACAAAGAAACCATTACATTTGAGCATTTGCATGTGCTATGAAAACTAACTGATTATTTTTTTGGATTCAGGAAACCAAACATGTTCACGATGCGGCTATAGGTTGGAGGAAGAATTCTACCCACAAAACAAAATCCGTCAACTTGAACTCAAGATAAAAATCTTGGAAAACGAGAAAAGGCATAGAGAAACGGAAATCACAGAGTTAAGGGAGGCGAACGAAAGACTTAAAGCGTGCGACCCTTTTGGAGCACATGTAAATAAACTGGAACAACACATTGATAACTTCAGTAGGGAATTAGAAGACATTAACAGAAGGCTAGTGAAAGCTGCACGCAGGAATAGCTTTTAGTGACTCGCACATGCTCGTGCAATCGAACCTCTCCTCTCCTCTCTTTTTGATTTCACCTGATTTGTAAAGCTTGGCAATTTCTTTAGGTTCTTTCTTTTCCAGAAAAAGTCGAGTTTAGATGAAATTCAGTTGTGTGAGGAATAATTTCAAAGAAAGTTCTGTCTCGCCTCCTCATCTTAAACACGCGTTTCATTCGTCGTATCACCCTATCACTAATTTTCCTTCCTTTTTCTACAGTTGTTTCGTTTAGATGAAATCCTAAGATTATCCAGTTTATTTATAGTAATAGTGATTTATAGTGAAGGCATACTGAAGTATGCAGTGAATCAATTATTACCTCGGATCTAGTGCACTTGTAGAATAGATTTAATTTTATGGTTAAATTTTCTCATTTGATTCACAATATAATCGACCATGTGTTTGAGGAAATTGCTGGCAATTTGGCAGTTTCTACCCGAAATTGCCTCACATCCACGTTGGATTACAGTGTAATGCAAAGGAGAAATGTTTAGTATATAAGTATTATGGCGTGGCCAAACAAAGTCACAGGTAGATGTAAGTTGAGAACTAAGGGGGCGTTTCTTAGGGAAAATCCGAAAATTGCAATCCGGGTATTCGAATCCAAAACGGATTTTGCGTTTCTTTACTTAATTCCGAAAATAGATTTTAAACTCGAAGAACCAATTCCCCGAGTGGAATCAGTAGAGCAAACTTAAATCCGGATTTTCATGATTAATAATGATCAATTAATATTACTTTCTTTGGGAATTAAGGATTCGAAAAGAGACGTCGGCGTCTTCGCTGTGAAAATTGTAGACCGCCGATTATAATTGAACAATATCAATACGGTATGTTTTGAAATCTATTTACGGACTGATATATTGTTTAGATTGTAATTGCTGGCGCGAACACAGCGTTACACTAGTTTCCAGGCTTCCGCTCAAATTGCTACTTAAACTGCTTTTGCTACTTGGGCAGCGAGCGTCTGCCTGCACTTTCGACCATCTGTTTGTTCGGTTACCTAGCTTGTGTTTGGACGTTTGCTTGCTTTGCATTCGTTTGTCTACTCATTTCTCTGCCGTTCATTCAGTTGTTATTGTTTGTGCAGGGGACATCCTTCTCTTATTTAAACTCCTATCTATACCTAAAATTGAATGTTCTGTGAATAGAACTGACTTACCTTGCTTTTCTGTCGTATTCTTTGTTGTTTCACGCTGTTTGAGACCGTTTTGAAGCGTTTTCAGCGAGTTAGCGCCGCTGGCGGTGTCCCACCAAGAGTGGGACACCAAGAGTGGGACACCAACATCAGTGCTAACTCGCTGAAAACGCTGAAAACTCGCTGAAAACGTTTTAAAACGGCCTCAAAGACCGTGAAACAACAAAGAATACGACAGAAAAGAAGGTAAGTCAGTTTTATTCACAGAACATTCAATTTTAGGCATTTAAAGCAAACCCGTAAAGTTCCCTTACAAGCCCTTGTAAATCGCATCTTTGTAACACAACACCGCTTGAAGGCAAGAGTCACGTTCGCGTACATACCATTTACATTAATTATTTAATTCCTCTCATCTCGCGCTTGGGTCGCCTGTGCTTGCATACTCAATAACCTCTATCAACAGTCTCAATCTAGTAAAATCTAAAACTTAATTATTAAAAGGAAAAGTGCTTCTTTTCATGGCGTTCGCTCAGCGATCGGCTGATCAGCAACAGTGACATTTGTGTTTGAAGATGGACCGTTTGGACGTGTTACAGAAGCAATCCGTGATATTCCAGACGAACGTCTCGACATACTCGAGACGTTCAAGGAACAACATGAGGCATTGCTAGAAGTCGTCTTGGCCACAGCAGACTTGCAGCGTACACTGCAAGCCTTCTATGAATTCAGTAGCCGCGTAAATAAGATGGTTGACAAGAAAGACTTACTAGAGGAACACCTCCAAAGAAAAATTCAAAAAATAAATTAAAGCACCCCATTGTTAAGACATTTCAAACGGCCCTTTCAGAGCCACCACAAGAAAAAGTCTTGGTTTTCGTTCGCTTTGATTCGTGTCCTTGTTTTGCTGATAGAAAATTGGGAAAGGAAATAATATCCTTATTGAGGATTTCCACGATACACATTTAGCCAACTTGCAGCTAAGAGAAAACCTCAGGTCCCTCATAACATTTCAGTCCAAGTCCTTTTTCGCAAGACAAATGTCAGAGAAAGTAGCTTACAAGCCTTAAAATCTAAAAGGAAAGGCCGAAAACGCTGTCCCGACTGACTACCGTGGCGTTTTTGGTGCACCAACGATATTTAAGATCAGCAGCAGATACAAATGCTAGACTTTATACGGTACGCACACGGTGCTGCTTCGGATACCAACCCACTGAAGATCTAGAAACCACTTAACGGCCTACAAACACCCGGTCGGGCGTCTAATCACACAGAGCTTCATAAAAAGTAGAAACTTTTTTTGAGCGAGTTTTGAAAATCACGTCAACAGTCTCAGCAGCATTTTTTGTAATGTTTTCTCTCAAGTGTCGTTGCCCGAATCATGACCGTTTTCCCCGAGAAATTACGTCATTTTTCGTAGCTGGGGGGCTGCAGTTCCCCTCCCCCCCCCCCCCCCCNGGGGGCTGCAGGTCCCCTCGCCCCCCCCCCCCCAGCTCGTACACCTATGAATACAAAATAACGTTCTGCCTGCCAATTGCGTTACCGCTACATGTGAATCGAAGCATGCTGCTCATAAAAATGCAATGTTTACCGTTACGAATATTGGTCAGATATTTTCCGCTGACAAGAGTAATTGTATATTGTCTAACGTTGTTAGGTGTAAACAAGGTTGTTAAAACTCGTCGTGATGTGATTAAATATTTGAGTGGTGTGAATTGGCCCCGAATAAAAAAAAGCGCGGTTGTTGAGTAGCCGTGAAAAGTGCTTGTTGCCAAACAGATGATCAAACGCAAGGCTGACTATCAGATGCAAAGGATCAAGGTAGTCAACTTCGACAACAGATTTAAAAGAAACCTCAAACAATTTATACATGAGATGGGACAATTTTCAACTTACTTTAAGACTCCAAGAAAGAATTGCAGAGTGAATTCTTCCATTGGTCAAAATGATTCGTGTAAATATCCTCAGTGGCAAATGAATTTATATTTTGGATGGTAAACTATCTGCAAAGAAACTGCTTTCAGATGATGTAATAACAGCGTTAAAACACATCAGAGCAAGGCAGTTTTGGAAGACAATTCACCATTCTTTGAAAAGTATTTTCAAGACATTCTGACCTTACTTCTGGAGTATAATTAGCCTGCGAGCAGGTTCACCTTTGAGTCACGCGCACACGCGCGAGCGGCGAAGAGCAAAGCGATCCGGCGGGAAGGAGTCTGGTGACTCACTTTCTCGTCTGTCGATTTCGCGCTCGCGGCTACGCCGCGCGCGCTTGTGCTTCAATGGGAGCGTGCTCGCAGACTAGTGTATAATTACAGGGTTACGTAATGCGGTCTTTTTACAAAACAATCGATGCACTTCGTGTGTGATTTAGATGATGTCATGGTAATGCGCGCAAGTTGCTGAACTGAGACATATATGCACAGACCAATACTTCGATGGAGTTGGAGCGCGAGTGAAAAAGCTGAGAAAATGATATCAACATTTGTCGCTTGAAAGGAATAGAGGTCAAAAATGAATTATTTAAAACGTGAATTGGAACAGTCAGACTATCTCTTTAAGCGTTAAGTCAAATATTTCTGAGAATTTGCCCCTTGAAAAAGACTCAGTGTAAATTGATATCACTGACACATGGAGTACATCTGAGAATATCTACATTTTTTAGTTTTTGTTTAGCAATGTCACGACACTGTTCCTCATTACCAGACCTCCGTCAAGGTCACGATCACAGCATCTTTCCCTACCTCACTAACCACAAAGCGAGCAACTAACCAGAACCAAAGCTTGTGCAAGATCACTACAAGACCTAGTAAAACATTAGTACGACAAGGTAAGCGAATCTTAGGAGCTTACAGAACTATCTTAAGACCTTACCAGTTTACCTAAACGCAATTCAAACTCTCGAAATCTGAACAATTCGACTTCTCCTAAACTACTTTCTCGAATCCCAACGAGAGGTTGTCATGCATGCATGTTTCACTAAGTTCAATTTCTTCAATTAAGTCTCGACGTATCCAGGAGTAAATTAAAGAAGGGACTAAAATGTTCGCAGAAGGACAGTTTTAGCGCGGTCACAGCTTCTATCAAGTACCGCTTAATGATAAAGTTAACGGTGTCAGTAGCGTAGAATCTTGTTCTTCGTGATGCAGAAAGAGGATGTCAAGTCTAAGACACCTGACATTACACTCAAAGATGTCGGGAGAAACCCCTACTTCTACAGGGCACGAACGAAAGTCGCACAAAAAAACTAAGAATGCAAGTTTGCCTTACAAGCAGCCAAATTAAAACACGATGGATAGCTAGCCAAAAGAAAAAGAACGAATAACGAATTAAATAACTTGAGTTTAAAAGTGATTGTTGTTAATGAATTAAGTGCTTATTCCTATGTTTCATTGTGTGACCCCCGTTCAAAATATAACAAGGTATTTCTTGGTCGTTAATAGTCATTCCCAATAAAGCATCGGTATGGTTATAAAACAGGTGTAAAACATACAACAGAAGGCAAAACTGCCTGTATCGACCTCTTTTTGATTAAAATGGTTTAGTGGAAACATAAAATGCTGACTCGATCCAATGCACTTTTGCTTTGTGATGAAATTCACTGGTGTCATATGACTATCAGTTGATACTATGTTTACTGCTTTGACGTTATTGCTATGGCTACTGTGTCAAATCGTTTGACACTGGGTAAACGGTCGTGTAAATTATAACATTAGTTGCCATTGACCGCTTGGCTGAACGCACGCGAATATGATAGAACAAACTACCGACTCATAACTGTACGTAGTACAGCACTCAATAGATCTACAGATACACCGATGCAGGGCTCATAATAGCCTGCAAGCAGGCTCACCTTTGAGTCGCGCGCGAGCTGCGAAGAGCAAAGCGATCTGGCGCGGGGAAGTAGTCTGGTGAAGAGGCGCCAAGAAAGTAATTTTCTCGTCTCGCGGCTTGGCTGCTCGATTTCGTACTCCCAGCTACATCACGCGCCCTTGTGCTCTGAAGTGAGCCTGCTCGCAGGCTAGGCTCATAGAGGTGACAGCTAGAGGTGGATCGTGCAAGTTCGTCTCTCTTCAGGGATTCATGTATAAATTTATTTTTCATTGTGTTCCGTTGCAGCGGGGACACACTTTATAGAAGGCCTAGATGGAGATTTTAGAGTCTCAGCTATCAGCGCTAATTTCCCAGCTACCAATTAAAATTTCAGCCTAATTTTCAGCTATCGTTCAATGTTGCAGAAATCCCGAAGTTATAATTTGGACCAATTCTCAGGCATTAGTAAAATCCCATTTATGCCACGGTATTGATACATAGAGAAAAGCTGTGACGCTGTTGTTTGGCCAGAAAAAAAAAAAGACTGGTGCAAATCTAGACGAGATGGATGACAAACACCGGGAAATCCTACGTCGCCAGCGGCCCAATTTACGGCGTGACCTGGAAGTAAAGAAGATGTTACCTAAATTGTTCTCAGTGTTGAACCTAGATGATGAAGAGGAAGTAACGGCGGAGGCTACACGTCGAAAAATGGTCGACAAACTTTTAAACATTCTGCCCAAGAAAGGACCGAAGGCGTTTGACGTCTTTGTGAAAGGACTACAGGAGATCCAACCTTTCTTAGCTGCTCCTTTGCTTCAGTATTCAGGTATTAAAAGAACCTGTTGTTTTGGACTGCGAAAACGCGTCAATGCTAGTTTGGCAAAAATTTACTGGATCGAGAAAACTGAAGACGAAATATTAGAATTGGTGTTTCTTTACAGTTCATCAAGTGTGACGCAAATAAAATGAATAATTAAAATGCAAAGCCAGGGCGGGGTTTAACCGTACTTATACATAAGTACCCGGCCCAAAGAATTCCTTCTGCAGTTATTTTCTCGCTGAACATATCTCGTTTGTAAAATTCGACCGCAAGGTACGAAGTATAAATCTTGACTTTGACCTGGCAAAATTCGTGATTGATTACGGCTCAGCGTTCATTACACTTGAACAGCAAATGTAGCAAGTACCCACGAATTTACTATGGCGTTATAATTATCTTATAATTTTCTTACCACCAGGCTCATCGTGGGTTCTTACGTCTATATAACTCTTTATTAGAGATGACGGTGCAGGCCAATCGTTTTGCGTGAAATAAACCGGTGTAGTTGGCAGTCTCAAACATACAGTAATGGGCCATTGTATCACGTGATCTGTAGCAGTCAGACGAGTGTAGCAAAAGATGAACTTCATTTGTATTTTCCCTCTAGAAAAGGAGGAAATGAAGACCGAATTCAACTGCCGTAGAAAGAACAGTTCCAGGTTAAAAGAGAGAGCTCATGCCGTTACGAAAGACCAGCAACAAAAGGAGATCACGGAGTCGAGGTTTCAGATGTTGGAGACCACAATTAAACGGCTGGAAGAGGAACTGTCAATTGAAAAAAGTCAGAAAAAAGAACTAGTAGAGAACACGGCACGTTTGAACAAAATGTGCGACGAAATGAAGGAAGACATACGTATCGTTAAGAAAATATTAGAAGAGCGCAAAGAACCTATCAAAACTCTGTCAGAAAGCAGTGACAATGTATTGAACGAAAGCGCTTGTGAAGAGAGGACGCGTTGTTATTCACTACAGGAAGAATTCATTGTGCTTGATAGAATCCCGAATGCCCTCGAACGCGAGAAAAGTTTGGAAAGACCAGAGAACTTTAGATTTCCCGACACAGCGACATCACCTGAAGGACTAAACGAGTTTAAGCTTGAAGGTAAGTTTGCAGTTGACTGGTGTATTTCTTGGAGATTCATTTGCGATCACCAAACCAACAGAAGTGTCCCGATAGGGCTTAACGAAATCTCAGGAGTTTCTCTTATGGGAAGATGTGAAACCTGTGTACCTGATCAGAACGGATTTCAAAGGCAATATAACTTATCAAGTTAAGTTGGTTTAGGATGCGGCATTTACATCTTGAATTAATTATTTCACTTAAATGGTAAGAACAAAGGAGTGTCGGTCGTTCGCAGGGTGTAAATAGGTCGCTTAGTCAGCCAGTCATGATCACCATCAATCATTCAGTCATTCAGTTAGTCAGTTACTCAGTTACTCAGTCAATCAGTCAGTCAGTCAGTTACTCAGTCAATCGGTCTGTTTGTCTGTCAGTCTGGCAGTCAATCAGTCCGTCCGTCCGTCAGCGAGTCAGTCAGTCAGCCAGTCTGTCAGTCAGTCTGTTTGTCTGTCAATCAGTCTGTCTGTCAGTCAGTCAGTCAGTC